GCGGCGGCTTGGCGGGAAGGCTCCACCCTTCTCCCCCCCCCATCCGGCGCTCACGCGCCAGCTCCTGGAATCTCACGAGCACGCGAAGGGCGGGCAGGCGGAGCGCGGCCGAGGGGGGCAAGCAGCGCTCTGATTGGCCGGGAGCCGGGGCCGCAGGGAATGTTCTACACTTGATGCCTCGAGCTGCCAGCGCCGCGTTCCCATGGAGACGGCCGGAGCCGCGCTGGGCATGGCGGGGCCTGGCGGCGGGGCGGTAAGTGCCCCACGCGCTCCCCGTCCCCCTTCCCGCGCCGCGGCCTGACGCGCCCTCCTCTCTCCCGCAGGAGCCGCGGTGGCTGCAGGCGGCCCGGGCCTTCGTCTGCGAGACCCTCTGCCCCGCGGGGCCGGGCGGCGGCGGCCCCGAGCAGCTGGCGGACTCGGTGCGGCGGTGCCTGCGGAGCACGTGGGGCGGGCGGAGCGGGGAGTTCCCGCTGGGCTACAGGTAACACGGGGGGGCATCGCGTCCCTGCCCGCCTCCGCTGCGCTGCCCCGGCACGGGCGCGGGGATGCTGCTGCCACCCCCTGGCGAGAGGCGGGTTCCCTCCCACTGGTTCGTTCGGTGCCTCTCGCCCGCCCCGCTGCGTCAAGTGCCCTGGCGAGGCTCGTGCCAGCCGGAAATGCTGCTCCCGCCCCTGTCCCTGAAGCTGGGCGTGTCAGGACAGCAGAGCCCTGCTCTGTCCCCGCTTTCCTGCTCCATGGCGGGAACTGCAGGGCCCGGCCCTCCGCCCCAGCGCAGGCTGCTCTGATGTGACCGCCTTGTATTAGAACGACCCTTTCACAAGCTCTGGGTCCGCATGACTAGCCAAGGATAGCACTCAGCCCGGCTACGGTCAGCTCTGAGTCTTGGGGAGAGTTTGGTTCCCTTGTTTCAGAGAGGTAGCTGTGTTCCTCGGTTTCGCCAAAAACAAGGTTTTTGGTGGCTCTTTAAAGACTAACCAATTGATTAGGGTGTTAAAGCGTAGGCTTTTTGTGAGCTACCACTCATTTGCTCAGATGCTGAAGAGAAAAAGAAAGGATACAGAGATGGGAGCATGACATCCGGATTAATTAAATCAGAAGGGATGTGGCTCATCTCTAATAACAAAGGTGAGAGTACCTAAATGGGAAATTACCTATTGTAATTGGAGAACCACTCCATGCATTTCTTTAGACCTTGGTTCAGAGTGTCAAATTTGCACATGAATTCCAGCTCAGCAGTTTCTCTCTGCAGTTTGTTTTCAAAGTTTTACTGAGAATAGCAACTTGCAAGTCTGAAACTGTGTGTCCAGGAAGGTTAAAGTGCTCCCTCGCTGGCTTTTGGATGTTGCCATTCTTAATGTCTGATTTGTGAACATTTGTTCTTTTGCGTAGACTGTTTGTTTGTATATGGCAGAGGGGTATTGTTGGCACATGATGGCATATATTACGTTAGTAGATGTGCATGTGAATGAGCCTTTGATATAGCTGATGTGGTTAGGTTCTGTGATCGTGTCAGTAGGGTAGATGTGTGGACAGAGTTGGCAATGGAGTTTGTTGCAGGGATAGGTTCCTGGATTCGTGTTTCTGTTGGAGGGTGTGAAGTTGGTGGTATTTGCCTTAGGTTGGGTGGCTGTCTGTAAGCAATTTCTTGCACACCTTGGGAGGCAGGCAATTGTGAGGGATCATCATCTATGGTAGGTTGATGAAGATCAGGAGGGGTTTGGCTTGTCAGCTCTAAAGGTATAGGCTTCTCTTGGTCAGCCTGGTACATCTTCTTGACTTAATTGACTCCCACTACTAAGGCCTGACTATACCTGAAAGTTAGGTCAACCTAGGTGCATTGCTACTCCGTGCATCATAATTAGGTTGACTTATGCCCCCCGCAGCTAGTTGGATAGAAGAGAAGGGTGGATTTTTCACACTAGTGGAAGAAGCCTTTTTATTGCTGTAGTGAGTGTTTGTACTACACAGTGTACCTGCACTTGTGCCATTGCAGCGCTTGTAGTGTAGACCTGTCCTTGGTCCCTGCAACTCTATAGTTTGCAGCACTTCATCTGCATTCTGTGGAGGCCCTAGTTTAAACAGCATTCCAACATAACAGCCGTTTCCAAAACCTTGTCAACTAAGTACAAAGGTGCAAGAGTTGAAACTACAATCTGGAGTGCTGTCTACGCTAAAAACTTCCCATGTTGCTGATATTAGTGTTGACACCAGTAGGAAGTTTTTGCTGAACTTTCTTAATGTAGACAAGGCCTATATCTGAGGTGTGGGTATTGTTACTGCTAGGCACACAGATTGCTAGGCCAACCAGCTGGGTTGGGAATGCTGATGATGTCACCAGTGTGTCTGATATTTAGTGACTTGATCAGTCTCAACATTGTAGAATCTCTGGCACATAGTGTTGCTCACTAACAGTGCTTGATAGGGTGGAGAACTTGTCTTTATCCAGTCTCATAGTTTAAGGTGGAATACATTAAGCTTGGCTACATTCTTACAGATGAAGAGATGAGCCTAAGATCGCTTTGATTTGACATCTCAGCCTCACATCCTTTAAACAAGGTCTGTTAAGATGAAAATTGAACTTTAAGGTTAGCAGCATTGTTTTGATCCTTCTCCATAAGTGGTACAGAGACGTCTACAGTCAGCCTCTTCTGGCTACAGGTCAGGACCTCCAAGCACCTTGCTGGGGAAATGGGGTCAGTATTAATTTAGAAGAGAGAAGTGCCACTTTACAGAATCCTCCACCACACTCTAGGCATTATCCTTGGTCTTCTCATGGAATGGCCCATTAACATTCTGCCTAAACTGTGGAATAAAGCCTCCTCACATCACCTATGAAGGTTGTTCAGATGAGTATATTTTTCACTTGTTGTTCCCAAATATTTCTTCACATGTCCCGTGTGTGCCCAGCCATGTGACCAGATCACTTATTAAGTGTGCTCTTAGGGTAAATATGGAAACAGATTGTCCTCCTAATACGGTGGCCATTTCAGCGTTGAACCCTGTATAATGCCATTGAAATGAGTACCTTCTCGCCCAAGATTTCCCATATGATGACACAACATCTCTGAGGGCAAGTTAATGGCATTACATTACATTAGGAGATTATAACACCTGTGCTGAGCCTGACCGGCAGCAAAATGTCTAAATCCCCCCCCCCCCATTTCTTCCTCATCCTTTCATGTTATAATTCTTTCCCTTTTCTTCAGCTTCATCTCCATCTCTGACCTGCAATGCCAACAACACACACCCTGCTGTAGTCACATGACCTGGAGCACCAGGGAGTTCAAGGAATGGGCTCACCAAGATGAGGTCATCGTGCCCAAACAGAGTGTTCTGCCTCGGGCTCACCTAATCCTGATTGGCTACCTGACAGATGGAAGAAAGCAGGAGGGGAAAGCGAAGCTAATGGATGGTAACCTGTATGTGCAAGACAACACTGGTTCAATGCCCTGTGAGGTATGGCAACAGGCAGCCTGCAGGATCCTGCTCTTGGTACAATATCTATGGGACCTTGCAAACAACAGAATGTGTAACTTGGGAGAGCAAATATGTGTCTTGTGAGGGAAAGGTAGTGAGTTCAAATGCCAGGGAGGGACGGTGAAATTTGTCAACTTTCATTGCTAACGAGATAGCTCCTAAACTTTTTGGACTCTGGAATAACTGGAGAAAAGAAGCAGGGGAAGAAGGTTGATCTTGTCAATTACCATTGAAGTGTAGTTTCAGTTACTAATCAAGTAATGGAGCAAACACTTTGTGAGATGTACTCTGAGAAGCTGATAAGACCAACAACAGGAAGCTTGCTTGCATTACAGGCTGTGAAGCTGAAGTTACAACGGGGGAATGAATTATGCTAGGCTTTTGGTGAAGCCCATGATACTGTGTATAAGGATGTTAAGGACTAGTTGACGAGTCGATTCCCTCACCCTTGCTGCCTCTATCAGAGGCAGCAGAGGGGGGGAAATGGGATATTTCAAAGGGGAAGCTCTGCATGGCTGATCTTGGGCTCAGCTGTGCAGAGCTGCCCTTTGGAATGCCGTCTCGGCATTGCAAAGGGGCAGCGCTGCGTGGAGCCTGGGGTCAGCTGGGACTCCCCAGCTAATCCCAGGTTCTGCATGACATTTCCGTTGAACCCGGGATCAGCTGGAACCCTGGGATCAGGGGAAATGCCACATGGAACCCGTGGTCAGCTGAAATGCCAGGCTCCGTGTGGCATTTCAAATTGGCAGCGCAACATGGAGCCTGGGATCAGTGGGCAAGTCAGAGTCCTCCGTTGACCCCGGGCTCCATGAGGGCACTTCTGCTTTGAAATGCATAAGAGCCCCCACTGGGGACTCTCTTACATTTCAAAGCTGGCACGTCACATGCAGCCTGGAGTCAGCAGGACTTCCCACTGGCCCTGGGCTGCATGCGGAGTTCCACATTCCTCCTTTGAAATGTACAAGAGCCACAGCAGGAAATTCCATCGACTACTTGACTAGTAAATTAGCCAATAGTTAACATCCTTAACCATGTACCACGAAATTTTGGCTTGGATGGGATGCAACTGTGATGAGGCCTGCCCCGAGGCTCTTGAGTAAGATGCAGTATCTGGAATTGGAGGCTGATGCGTGACACCAATAATGGAGGCTCAGGGTTTTCTGTTTTGCAACTTATCAATAATCTAAGATAGGTGAAGAGCACGTTAATTTTATTTGCAAAGAACTCTGCATTGGGATGAGCTTCAAACGCTGGTGAAGAAAGGTTAGAAATATGGTCTGGAAATACCAAGCACTGCCAAAGCTTAGGATGCTATAAATGAATTTCCACCATACCGTTGGTGGGAAGAAACCTGAGCCTAGGGAATGCAAGGCCTAGTGCCCAGTAAATTGCTACTTCTGGTAGAATTCTGTGCAGAAAGACACTCCACATCCTCCCCTACAGATTCTCTTTGCTTCCCAGAGAAAAAGAGTTACAGTGGGGGAAACAAAAAGAAAACTGTATCAGTGCTCACATGACCCTCCCAGCAGTCTGGGCAGGTGGGGTAGAGGTAAGTCACCATGGGTATGTCTACACTGCCACCCTAGTTCAAACTAGGGTGGCTAATGTAGGCATTGGAACTTGCAAACGAAGCCCGGGATTTAAATATCCCGGGCTTTATTTGCATGTTTCCGGGCGCCGCCATTTTTAAATGCCCCGTAGTTCAAACTACTGCCCGTGGCTACACGCGGCACGGACTAGGTAGTTTGAATTAAAGCTCCTAATTTGAACTACCGTTAAGCCTCCTTGCAGCCGCGGGCAGTAGTTCGAACTACGGGGCATTTAAAAATGGCGGCGCCCGGAAACATGCAAATAAAGCCCGGGATATTTAAATCCCGGGCTTCGTTTGCAAGTTCCAATGCCTACATTAACCACCCTAGTTTGAACTAGGGTGGCAGTGTAGACATACCCTACAAGAAGGAGGAGGTGTGTGTTTGGGATGTCCCACTGGGGGAGGATGGATGAAGTTTCCCCTTCTCTGCCCCTGCCAGGGTTGGATCAGATCAACCCACATAAACCTCTCCTGTCTGCACAAAGCTCTACACCGAGGAGAAGGAGGGGTTTGGCAGGGAGAAGGGACATGTCTTGGTGCAGGAGGTGAGGCTCAATGGGGTATGGTTGCCAGATGTGGGGAAGGCTCAGCTTGGCAGAGAGGTGAGAAGTTTGAGTGTGGGGAGGGTCCAAATACACAGGGGTTAAGCCAGCAGCTCCCCGTACTGTGACCCCTCTTCCCACTACATGGCCTCATTGCTCCTCAGCTACAAAGGAGCAGTCTCACTGTAGAGCAGTGGTCTCCAACCTTTTTACACCCAAGATCACTTTTTAAATCTCAGAAAAGGCGAAGATCTACCGCCCCGCCCCTTCCTTGAAGCCCCGCCCCTTCCTTGAAGCCCTGCCCTCTCTATTCTCCTCCTGTCCATCACTTGCTATCCCCAGCCCTTACTTACACACTCTGATAAACAGTTTATTTTTAAATTATGCAATGCATACAATTAAAATCACGTGTTTATAGTTATGAAATAAATGGTCTGTTTTTTATTCATGCTATTTAAATCTAAAATGAAGCATTTATAATTATACATTTTGTGGGGACGGAGTACTGTGGCTGGGGGCAGGGGAGAGGGAACAGGGTGCTGGGAGGGCAGAGGACAGGATGCTGCAGCAGGGGACAGAGTGCCAGTGGGGACAGAGTTCGGGGAGTGGGGACGCGAATGGGGACAGAATTCAGGGAGTGGGGACAGTTCTGTAGCTGGGGACAGGGGAGTGGGAACAGGGGAGTGGGATGCCAGTGGAGGCAGAGAGTCCCCTGAATCTCCCTCCTC